GCTTTCCACTTGAATCCTAAGATAATATGATCAGAAATTAGAATTTTAAAAAAAAAGGTGGCCTAAAAAAATATTAGTCTGTTTGGCGAGACCTCCACCCCGAAAAAGTTATAGTAACGAGGCGATATAGGCCAAAGCTCTCATAATTTTTGTAGGCCACCTTTTATTTTCGACTTTGTGATCATATTATCTTACGATTCAAGTGGAAATGGGTATTGGTGAGTTTTTAGTACCTAATTAAATAGGCAAAGTTTGCCGATCTCGAGATTGAAAACGCCCCCATTCCGAGAATTTTCATAAATAAAATATTTGTAGGTTACGATCAGATTTAAGCTATTTACGTAGTTTCAGGCGGATGTTAATAATTTAATAAAAAGGATCTGTACCACGGACTATTATGTATTAATAAAATTCTACCGTACCTATAATCTTCTATATATGTAAAAATGAATGTATGTCTATCTGTTTGTCCTTTATGCATTACTAAACCATTCATCCGATCGCCATGAAACTTTGGAAAGTTGTTCCCCATACTCCTGGGAAGGTTTCTGGCATAGTACTTCTGTCTTACGATAATTTTATATGTGTAAAAAAAAAAAGTAAATGTTTTTCTGTTTAAAGCCATAAAAAAATGTGTCGCTATAAACTGTAGCGCCAAAACGGCTTTACCGATTTTAACGAAACTTGGCTAAAGTCTTCCCCGTGAAACCCTTTTAATTTATGTGTATAACATACTTTCCCCAAAAACAAGCTGAAAAATGTTACGATGAATTCAATATTTTATTTTTCGATGAATAAAAAAGTACACAATTTTTGACTGATAATGCCCACATTTATTTGAAAGATTTCTGAATTGTTGATAAAATAAAAATAAAAAATCATCGAAATCGAACAGTTCATTGCAGAGTTATAGAGATTTAAACATTTACTGCTTTCTCTTCAGAAAAGGCCGTTTCCTTTTGCTTCCTCACTACCGAAGGTAGGCAAGCATTTTTTTTTTTTAATGATTAATCGAAAATTTTATAATTACTACAGTAATTGAAATTATCATTTGGAGAAGTTATATGATCCTCCTTATTACATTTAGCTAGATTTAGGTACATTTAGCTAGACTAAGCCACAGCAGCGCGTGGCCGGGTAAAGCTAGTCTAATATATAAAAATAAATTAAGTGGATCGTTTTTTGTTTTTTTTTTAATTATCATACAAAACTTTTAATATCGCTATATAAGACTGTGTAGCGTCATTGGAACTAAAACTTTTTAAAGAGCGATTAAACATTTCTAAATTATTGTTGCTCCAAGAAAATTGAACACAGTATATAATAAAAACTATTAAAATATATTTAAATAATAAACGAACTAGAAGAACATAACCGCTAGATCTAGACTGAAAAATGTTTTTTTAAGAGATTCGTCTTCAACCGCCGTTCGTATTGCACACAGTAAACAGTATTAAAGGTAATTAGATTGGACCGTCGAAGATAATTAGGATATTAGGTTAGAAACAAAGGCGTTGCAGTCATTTTTCTTGTTTTGGTTTACTTTATACTCAATGTTGAATTATGGATTCCTCTTTTTGTTGCATTCAGCAATCAGTCTGTATAATAATAATACAATACAATATACTAAGTAATAAATAAATTTTATTTGTTAATATTTAGTTGTGAAATAAAAATAGATATCAGGTATGAAGCACCACACATTCATTTACTATTTAGTTTCGATTAGTTCGACTACTTAAAGTATTTTGGAGAAAATAATTTATAGGTAGTAATATATAAGTTTTGCCTTTCACAGTAGGTTTTCGTTTTAGGAATAAGAATTAAAATAGTTTCCACCTGCCTAGTGGATGAAACATTCCCAAATTTGTGAAAAACACTTCTCCCTTCCTCTCCACAATTAGCATTTTTCATTTAATTTCGAATCCATTGATCAGATGGAAATAATGAATAGGAATGAAAATATTCCTCATAAAATGTCTTATATTAATAACCAAATAATGTTTAGGTATTTGCTTTCAAGGGCTTTATTACAGTAATTTTTAGGTAAGTACTTCAAAGTGTTTTCAACTTCGAAAGCTGTTTACTCGAAACCGGTAAGTACTAGCCAAATTATTGACAGAATACTTTTTATGTAGAATTTTATGAGGAGTATTTTCATTTCTGTCCGATCAATGGATTCGAGGTCAAATGAGAAAAACCGAAAAAGAGTGTCAAATGTGGGGGTAATCAGGGAGGTGGCAACTCTTTTAATTTTTATTCCTGTCCCTAAGAAGAAAACTTGTGAATTGCAAAACTTTACAAATTATTTCCCACAAATGGCATTTTTTAGTCGAGTACGTGCGACTGTTCTCAACTTTGGAAGCCTTTAACTCAAAACTGGTTAATACTAGCCAAACTATTAACAGAAAACTTCTTATGTAGAATTTCACGAGTAGTATTTTCATTTGTACTCATCATTTCCGCCCAAGGGTGCCCATCCTCCCAAGAACCTATTCTCCCTCTCCGAAGATATTTTATAGCTCACCTTTCCTTAAAAGTAGATCAAGAGAAGGTAGAATTAGAAAAATCGTAGATCATGTACAAATACACTTACTTACTGCAGTATGTTCCATGTTTCCTCCTAGTCCTTTAGTATGGAACTTTTCATTCATAACCCCGCTGAAATGTGCCCCCCTTAAAAATTCAAAAACCTGTCAAAATATACCCCCTCAAAAAATTTGATGGTGCAAATTTGAATTTTAGTATTGATGACTGCACTTGCGGATACAGGATTTAATTTTGGGGGAGCTTCAGCCCCAGAGATTTTTTTTTCATATGTATAACGATAATTAATTTGAAAAAAAAAAGAAAGAAATGAACTACCTATATGAAATGGTGTTTAAGTGATTCTTGAAGTCCTATTAAATGTAATTACAAGAACAATAATACGTTAAGAGATAATTTTAAATATTTTTTTCTATAAAACATGGTTATATTTTACCGTTATGGGAGGCTTCAGCCCGAAAGCCCCCTCCTCCCCCCCCTAAATCTGCCTGTGGATGACTGTGTCCTGACTATTTATCACCATGATATGTAGCTAACTTCCTTCAATAATTGGTTATTACAATAACTATTTATTTATTTGGTATCATTCTAATTAATGCCAAAGTGAACAATAATAATTATTATAAATTATTAATTATCAACATATTGATTAATCAATTGTTTTAATATGTACTAATTATAAACTAATTAGTGATATTTCCAAGTATATATATATATATATATATATATATATATATATACACATAAATTATAATTATAACTTTATTAAATATTTATTATTAAATTATCAGTAATCAACAATACCTTACCTTACTACATAGCTTTACACCTGGGTGGGCCTCGACTTCCCTGACAACATTGCTCCAGTCCTCTCTACACAATGCTCTCCTCCTCCAGTTCCTTATACCTAGACTTTCCAGGTCTTTTTCTACATCTTGAATCCAACTTCTCCGAGTCATCAACAATAATGATTAATAATTAATTCTTTATATTTCTTTGTTATTTGGCAATGATTACTTCCAATTGACAACAATTGAATTTATTTTTTGTATTATCAAAATTGCATGTTTACAAGAGTACGTTTTGGGATATTTACTCACATCTTCAGAACCATAATTCCAATGATCTTGAGGATAAATGGCTAAAAGTTTTTTTGAGTTAAAATATAGTGCATGTTACAATACATGTCAGAATTGGGTTGTTACAATAAATTTGTAATTATCTTAAATCGAATATGCTCCATCGTCAGTTTCTATTTCATGTTATAATAAATCTAGGTATATAACATCTAGAACAATATCTTGCTTTTAGACTAATTATTGAGTGTCTGCCATAGTGAATACAGTTGACAACATATTACTAACTGTAAAAATACAAAAAACATAAACACAACAGCTTTAGCACATCACAGCGTTAATTTAACTTCAATAAACCACAGATAATAGGCACAGAACCAAAAAACACCAATAGAAAATTACTTGAAGCCATACACATCACAAAAAACAATAGAACAACAGTAAACTATAAAACAGACACTAAACATTTAGGAACACATTATGCGGACATATTAAACAAAATTAAAATTTAATAAAAATGAAATAGCAGATACATAAAAAATAAACATTAACAACAATAGTATAAAAATAAACAGTCATATCCAAAGGTCAATTGTATTCACTATGGCAGACACCCAATAATTAGTCTAAAAGCAAGATGTTGCTCTAGATGTTATATACCTAGATTTATTGTAACATGAAATAGAAACTGACGATGGAGCATATTCGATTTAAGGTAATTACAAATTTATTGTAACAACCCAATTCTGACATGTATTGTAACATGCACTATATTTTAACTCAAAATTTTTTTAGCCATGTATCCACAAGATCATTGGAATTATGGTTCTGAAGATGGGAGTAAATATCCCGAAACGTAAACTTGTAAACATGCAATTTTTATAATACAACAAATAAATTCAATTGTTGTTAATTGAAAGTAATCATTGCCAAATAACAAAGAATATCATACAACTTCCCAGAAAAAAGAAAAAAAAGTCTTTATATTTCATTATTGGGAAAGAAAATCTGTTTGTTCTTTGTTGAAAATTTTCATCTTATTAATTCTTACCTCTGTTTTTCATGCCTAATTGTTATATATTTTGTTTGCGCTATTCATTTAGGTAATTTATAATTTTTTTTTTCTTGGCATACTATTACATTTATATTACTACTATTTATTATATTATGTTATGTACTTCTGTCTATATTTTATATTTCTGATGTAAATTTTAATTGTTATCCCTGATGATGGCTCACATGTTTCGGTCAAAACTTCGGCAAGCCTAATTATTTATCATCCTCATAAACAAATTAAACAAAAATAAATAAAATACTTTAATTTATTTAGTCGGTTTATTGATCAATACATATAATGGATTCTGAAAAAGCAATTATTTAGCAATTCTCATCTTGAAAAAAACTATCTGGATCTTCACTCACACTTGGGATATTTGAAGGTGTTTCTGAATCTCCAGAGTCAACCAACATCTTGTTGCTTTCTGATGGAGGGGTCTCTCTCTTAGCTGTGAAAGGTGGTGAAGGAATGTCCGAGGGGACGATTTCAGCGACTTTCGGTGGATATTTAACCACCTTCAGCTGCTCTTCAACCTTATCCATTTTTTTAATACTATCCAAGAAGTTTAGATACGCTTCCTGGGATATGGTGGGTTGGAAAATCCGCAAAATGTGTTTCAAGGCTCTTTGATTGGGCGGTGTTATAGGCCTTACCATTTCTGAAATTAAAAAAATTATAAATTGCATATATATTATGATCATATGATCTTATATTATGACCAAAGACTGAATTTTTATGTAGTAAAAATCCACAGATTATGCCATATTATATGCAGTAAAAACAACATGAAAAATGCAGTAATTGATAACTAAATATATTAAACTTGCTAATTACTTCATTACTTATCTATCAGTAATGTATTAAAATGTAATAATGTGCCTACAAAAATGTATTGAAATTAAAATAAAATTATGGAGGGGTTATAAATTACAATAATTTCCTTCTTTTTTTTTAATATATAAGGAACTGAAGAATGAAAATAACTAAACATATACAGCTAATACGGTTATAATAAACATTGTGATGATGGCAAACATAACATGAACCACATTAAAAAACTTAAAATATCAAAATATATAAAAAAAAGAAATAATAATAATTGTACTGACACATAATTAAATAAGCATAAAAAAAAAAGACAACAAATACAGCACAATAATTATGTAAGTACATCAAAATTTTGTATATAAACTAACATGAGTTTTGTAGAAACAATAACATAATTAACATAAAATAAAATTTTAATAACTTGTAAAATAAATAACATAAAACAGGCAAATTTATATCTAATTTAAATTACCGGGTTGAGGTAAATGTCGTTAAGACCAATTAAATTTTCACTATTTAAAATTGTATTAATACCTTCCAGAATCGTGAGACCTAAATTATTGGGTTGGCAAAAGTCCTTTCGGTTTTTAAGGGTGAAATAAAACTCAATGTATTATAGACATAAAATTTATTTTAATCTACTGATTTATTTATCACCCATGATATGTAGAACAGTCGACTAACTTCCTTCAATATTTTAATCTACAATATATTGACCATTATTTAATATGATTTATTCCCATCTTTCCATTAACTGCATAATGCCATGTTCATAGAATTTCTGGAGTTTATTGTTAAAAAAAATGATCCAGAGACCGGAATAAGTGGTAGTCACTTGGAGCTAGGTCTGGTGAATAGGGAGGATGGGGCAAAAGGTCCCATCCAAGGCTCAATAATTTATTGCGAGTGACCAATGAGCTGCGAGGCCTAGTGTTGTCTTGGTGAAACACAACACTCTTCCGATCATTCATAACTCTTCAGGATGTTCTCCATATTAGATGTTACTATATCCGTTGGAAAGCTGAATTATTGCTCTTCTAAAGCCGTATTAATGGTTTTTTTTTATTTAATGCCTACATAAGGAATAAATAAACAAAAACTTATAGGTTTTTATTTTTTATCTGCATTTGTAGTTTGTTTACAAAGGTCCTGTTGTGTCAAAATGTCATTTTGTGTAGTTTATATGGCCCTAAATTCCTGCTAAATTTCTTGTAGATAGCAAAAGTATAGTATTGAAGTTATAATATTTTTTTGTGATTTTAATAAAAAAATCATTTGAGGGACCCAAACATTAAGCCTGAAAACATAGCCAAGCTTGTGCAAATGGTTTTCTGCAATTGTGTGAGACACATTTAGGGCCATAGCAATCTCTCGCACTGATTGGGTAGGATTTTGATCTACAATGACCTTAACATTGTCGGCTTTTAATAGAAATAAAATACATGTAGAATGATGTATAATGGCTTTTGAGTTATAAAAATAATAAATAATAAAAATAATAAATTGTAGGGTGGTATTGTTTACTAACAATTAATTAAGTTTGAAAAGAGAATAGATACCGTCAAATAAATTGTATTATCCTCTCATAACAATCTAAACTTATTAATCATTAATTAATTAAATATAAGCATAATTGCTTAAAATTCAAATTTCTTTTAGAAAATAACTCATTTAAATTTAAATAAACAACATGGCCTTTTTAAAATGTTTTTCTCATGATTCATAAATAGATTTAAATTGATAAGGGTAATTATCTCTTTGAAAAAGTTCTATGATTAATTCATGTTAACTTTACTTGATTTTAAATACTGTACTACTTTTAATTAAATTTAATTTTAATAATATTACAATTTTAAAAATAAAGGTTTTTTTACTCGTCTAAGTATAAGAAATATTTATATACTCTCTTGGAAATATTAATGACTATATGAGGGGATATATTCAAATTTATTAGGAAAATTTGATATTTAATTTCCATCTGTTATTTTCTCACAGTAGCAGACTACTTATTGCAGTTTCAGGCTAAAAAATGTTAGTACAAATAGAATAAACATGGGAAATTGTTGCATACGACCTTATGCACTAACAGTAACAATATTATTAATTTCACTACTATTTTTAAGGTTTACTTATTATTTCTGTACATTGCTTTACATAAGTCAATGAAATAAAAATATTATTGTTCCTTCATTTTGATACAATATGAGTAAAGCGGAGGAATAATTATATATTTATTTTATTGACTAATATCTCATAATATTTACATTTTATTGTTTGATCAGCTTCCTTTCTGACCCATCCATATGATCTTAAACTAATAAAATACGGAATAATATATTGGCCAGACTGTGTAATAAGCATTACCAACTGTCTTCTTTTTCTTTATGGTTGGTATCCTCCTGTATTTCTGGGGTATCCCAGGGTGTGCAATTCTTTTTTCGAAACGTTTGTTCATCTTCTTCAGCATCTTTTCTGTTTCTATTTTAAGTTTTCTAGCCACTAATGCGTTTTGTATATCCATATCATCTTTACCCTTAATTTCATTGTATATTCTCCTTGTCTCTTCTTCAGGAAGAGAATTGACTCTCATCTGGGTGTCTATGATTTTCTGAAAACAAAATGAGCTATGGTTGTATGTTGATTCATAATTGTGAGTTGATGGTTGAATCTGGTGAATAATGAAGAGAATGATGGTTGGGAAGATCAGTCAAAATAATAAATAATAATAATAATAATAAGGCTTAGCGAACCCGAAGGTTCGATGCCGACACCACCAATCGCTTGTTACACACCTCCCTCCACCGTTCGCCGTCCAAACCCAGTCCCTTCAGATCGGCTTTAATGCAATCCTCCCATCTTCGCTTCGGTCTACCCCTCGGACGCTTACCATTCGGCACAGCAAATATTAACCTTTTAGGAATTCTCTCGTTACTAAGCCCAACAACTTTACAAGCCCATTTGATTCGCCGCGATGAAATTACCTCAATTATATTACCCGGATACATCTCACGCAATTCGGCGTTGTGTAACCGTCTGAACTCTCCGGTTAACTCATCCTTTTTCGGTCCGAATATTCTACGCAATACTTTATTTTCAAAAACCTTAAGACGCTGCTCATCCCTTAATGTAAGCGGCCAAGTTTCGCATCCATAAAGAACTGTAGGTAAGATAATTGTTTTATATATTCTAATTTTTAAGTTTCGGGACAAGAGGCGCGAACTAAGTAGTTTTGTCACAGAAAAATAACAAGCGTTCCCCGCCTTCAGTCTAACCTTAATCTCTTCTTCAATTTCGTTTTTTCTAGTTATCGTAGAACCTAGATACCTAAACTTATCTACCTGTTCAAAGATATTACCATCTATATCAATATCACCAGTAATATCGCCATTTTTGCAGCTAACCATATATTTTGTTTTATCCACGTTTATTTCGAGTCCTAGTTCTTTCCCGGCTTTCATTAACGTTGTCGTATTCAGTTTTATAGTTTCAACGTCTTCGCTTAACAGTACCAGATCATCAGCATAGCCCAGCACGGATGTTGTCCCGCCCAGATCCAACCCTTTCTCGGTTCGCATTACCTCCCTAATGGCATGTTCTAATGCCAAATTGAACAGGACAGGCGAAAGAGAATCCCCCTGTTTTAAGCCCGAACGAACCTCAAATTTTTCGGACAAATTATTACCGATTCTAACTTTATTGAGTGTCTCCGTCAAGCACATCCTGACTAGATTTACTATTTTTTTTGGAATCCCCTGCTCGATTAGAATATTATACAATTTCTGGCGGTCAATAGAATCGTAAGCCTTTTTAAAATCTATATACAGCTGGTGAACAATACCGTTATACTCCAATTTTTTCTCTAATATTTGCCGTAAAGAAAATATTTGATCAATAGTCGAACGATTCCGTCTAAATCCGCATTGGTAGTCTCCGATAATTTCCTCGGCGTATTCCGTGATTCGACTGGTTAAGATTAAAGTGAATATTTTATAACATACCGGAAGGAGTGAAATTCCTCGATAGTTATTACAATCCGTCCTCGGACCCTTTTTGTGAATCGGAATAAGAATAGATTCTTTCCATTCTTCAGGTAATTTCTCGTTCACCCAGATCTTTTTAACCAACCGATGTATTTTAGAAACTCCAGCTTCTCCGCATGCCTTAATTAGTTCAGAAGGAATATTATCGATTCCCGCTGCTTTATATGATTTTAATTTTCCGATAGCTACTTTAACTTCCTCTTTAGTTGGTCCTTCTATTAACGGTTCAGCACTCTGGTACTCAGAAGGAGGACACAGATCATAATTTCCCGTATTTAAAATATTGTCAAAGTGGTCCTTAAACTTATTCAATATGTCAACCGGATCGGTCAGAATATTGTTATTATCATCCCTAATTCCAGACGTTACGGGCCCTACATATTTACGTGATCTGTTTATACCTTTGTACATGTCTCTTACGTTATTTTCGATTCTATTAGTTTCTATTTCAATTATTTTATTTTTAAGATACTCCCTTTTTTTATTTTTGAGCAATTTTGTCGTTTCGTTCTTTGAGATTCGGAAGTATTCCAGATTGTCTTCGCTAGGATTATTTAGAGCTTTTAATTTAGCGGCTTTTCTTTTTTCACACATGTTTAAGCAATCTTCATCAAACCACGGTTTGTTATTCTTCTTTTCCTTTTTTCCTAGACACGAGTTACCGACCGCTTTAATATTATCTCTGATCTCTATCCATAACTTGTCAATATCCTCGTGGTCCTCGTCAGGAAGCTCTAAAGCTTCAAACCTATTCTTAACATCTAGCTCGAATTGGTTTCTAATTGATGGATTTTTTAATTTTTCCAAATTAAAATTCTCAAAATCGAAACGGTTTTCTTTGCTCTTTTTTATATTAAGTTTTTGTCGAAGTTTCGCGATTACTAATTCATGATCCGACCCACATTCTGCTCCGCGATAAGACCGTACATTAATTATACTACTTTGCCAGCTGTGTTGTATCAAGACATGATCGATTTGATTTCGTGTTTGCGAATCCGGTGATGTCCAAGTATATTTATGAATATCCTTATGTTTAAACGTCGTACTTTTAATTATCAGGTTTTTCGAGATGGCAAAGTTTATCAGACGGATCCCATTATCATTACTATATTCGTGCAAACTTTCTTTACCAATCGTCGGAATATAGACTTCTTCCCTTCCTACCTTTGCGTTCGCGTCACCTACAATTATTTTCATGTAGTTTCGTGGTAGTTTATCATAAACCCATTCGAGTTTATCGTAAAATTCACTTTTGACTTCATCGTCACTGTCTTCGGTTGGACAATGTATGTTTATTAATGCGATTTTAAACCAACGTCCCTGAAATGTAGCTACCGAAATTCTATCACTAAAGAATTGTACGTCCCTCAAAGCGGATAGTAATCTACGCCTAATTAGAAACCCGGTACCTAAACAATGATTCTCGCTTCCTCCGTACCAAATAGTGTACTTCCCTTCCCTCATCGAGCCCTCCCCTGGCCAGCGAACCTCTTGCAGAGCCACGACATCCAAATTGTACCCTTTTACCTCATTCGCGACCGATTTTAGCCCCCCTGCTGTGTTTAAACTCCTTACGTTCCACGTACCAATATTTAAATCCCTATATTTCAACTTGCGCCATGAATCCCCTAAAGCAGTCCCCACCCGGAGACCCGAACGGGGGACTAGTTTACTTCCGGATAATGAGCGTTTTACCTTAGGAAGATCCATGACTTTTTGTGGTGTTTGGTGAACTAAAGATATGTGAGTAGGGCGTTCAATCCTACGTCACACCCTCCAGCAAGACTGGTGGGTCCCTACCTCCAGCAAGTCTGGAGGTCCCCTCCCTCCAGCAAGTCTGGAGGGCCCCTCTCATTGTTGGTCAGCGAGTCCATCGGACTTAGCCGGGAGGAACTTCCAAGAAATTTCCACCGACCATCCCCACATCCGCCACCCGTGGGACGCTCCCCATACGCGGTAATGAGCCCGCGCGAGGTCAGTCAAAATAAAAAAAAAAAAATAAAAAAAAAAAAAAAAAAAATAAAAATACAAATCTCCAACCAATTCTCAACATACAACCATTCTCTGCAAGCGATTGCTTCGATCAGCTCTGATGAAGGCCTTAACTTCGGGTTGAAACATCGGCAAATGTTAAAATAAATATTATTTATTTTCGCCATTTTTATTTTCAGTCAAAATAAAAATGGCGAAAATAAATAATATTTATTTTAACATTTGCCGATGTTTCAACCCGAAGTTAAGGCCTTCATCAGAGCTGATCGAATCAATCGCTTGCAGAGAATGGTTGTATGTTGAGAATTGGTTGGAGATATATGTTGTATGTTTCGTTATGAATACAATATATTTGGGTATTTCTATGAAAAGTGAACTTTTTTTTTGTCCCAAGCCATATTTTTTTTTATCTTTACATAGCCATATTAAAAAAAAAAAAATAATATATTGCTTCAATTATTTTCATGAAAAAATTTACAAAAAAAAAAACTCATGAACACATATAAATTTTTATAACAGAGATCTGGGTGAAAAACACAGACAGTGTCATAACCACTTTACTAGAAAAATATTTGAAAAATCATTATTTTTAATTTTTTTTGTTTATAAATAGAAAGTGTATTTGGGCAATTATGTTTATTATAATGTAACTAAGATCAAGACTTTTTTATTTGGTCAGAGAGAGGAGGAATATAAGGTAGAGATCTACATAGGGTTTAAGGGTCGATTTTGAGAACTCGGAAGGGAGCTGGAGGAGTGAATTTTGTAGTCATTAATAAGTTTTTTTATGGTGTTGGGAGGAAAATTATTAGAAAGTATTATTTGTTGGATGCGTCTTGTGTTTCTTTCATGTAGGAAAGGATCGGACATAGAAAAACATCAATATATAACATTTTTACAACATTGATTTTTTGGTTATAGGGGTGTTGGGAATAATAGAGTATGCCAGTTTTTATTACCTACCTATTACACTTAGTATACTTCTTGTTATCCAAATAATCCATTACCTTTTCCAGATTGAACTGAATGTCAACAGTCATCTACATATACTGTCACTTTCTATAATTAATAATATATTGTTTATATAAAATCCAATAACTAATATGTATTGTTTGTATCTTATATAGCACTGAGGAAGACCTACAACATAGGTTAAAACGTTGGACAATATAATAAAATATAATATTTTATTGACCGCACCCCCAACTAATTTCTTGTGAAATTGAATCCGCAGTCAACCATCTCTATATCATTATAAAGAATCTTTAAATTTCTTAAATTTAAAAACTATTTCTTACAAATTAATCACTTTGCAGAATCACCCACATTATATAAGAAGCTGATATAAAATTTGCTTTAATTTCAAGTTAAAATTTATTGCATTGTTAATAACTAGTAATACTACCCAATAAGTGAATTTCAAAAACAAATATTAAAAAAACTACGAGAAGTCAAATATTTCTTTTGGGAATTAAATAAAACAACTTACTTCTGTTAACAAAGATATCATCTCTACAATATCTTTAGTTGGTGATTCATCGCCAACAAATTCTTCATACAAACATTTTATGTGAACAAAAGCCTGAAGAAGGTCTGGGTTTGTTGTTACTGCCCTGAACAAGAAAAAAAATAAAATAAAAAATAGTGAAAATATATATTTTTTTCTTCTTAAGGTCTTGATAATTCATCTCAGAATTGACTCTTTAGACTTGAAGTTAGTAAAAACGAAACCTTATCAGAATAACGGAGAAATATTTTAAGTTTATTTTTTAGATAATAGTATTTTTCTATGAATATGTTGTAAATTAATAATATATTCCAGCTAAAAACTCTTAATATTTAAATAATTACTACATTTTAACAATAAATTATACCTCCAATAAGACATTATGACACCAGTTTCTTCTTCTATTGTAATAATTGGAGCAATTCTCTTAGAAAATTCATATTTCAAAACTTCTATATCTGTTCTTAATACATTTAATGATTTCCTTTCTTCTTTCAGAATTTTTCTATCTTTTTCCATAATTTTTTCCCTACGACTGGAGGACATCTGCAGTAGAATAAAATCGAAATGATTTAAATGAATAGGGGTCATTACATCACATAGAAAACAATTTTAAAGATTTTTATAGTTTTTTTAAAAAAAATTTTTGTTCAACAAATAACTTATGGCTATAAAGCAACAGTTACTTCCCCGCTGTCCAATCTCAGTTAAAAAGGAAACGGATCCTCCCGGACTATTGGGTTTCACAATTTCGCACGGTGCATGGGGATTGTAGAGCTAAACTACATGGCTTCGGACAGGACACCTACCCCTCCACTGTCCCACTTGTGATGTTCCGAAATCGACGGATTAAGAGCCACGTTGATGAAAACCACAGGAATTAACGTCCTCACTGAGGAGTTTCCTCAGTTGGTGAATGAGAAAAACTTCCTGTGGTTCAAAGACTTCATAAATGGCTGGAAGACGGCGCTGGGTCCAGGTCACTTTAACCTAGAAGCCTGCAAAAGGAGGAGAGGACCAGTGCCGGGAAGACTTCCGGATATTGGAAGCCAGGCCTAATGGGTTGAAGAATGAAAAGAAAAAGAGCTGGAGAAGCTGGAGAAGTTGAATATATATATTATGTTTACAAATCGGCAATAATAGTAATTATAATTACATAATAATATAAATTTGCAATAAGGCGCGATGAATGATATACATTTTTAAATAAATTAAAAATTTGTCCAAACTGTGGTTTTATTTTACTTTGACAAATAATATTACAACCTGAACTACAGAATACAGAAATTAAAGTTATACAATTTGAATAACGATTAGTACGATTAAATGGACAGTTGTATAATTTTTGAAATGGGGTTGGTGTGCACAGTATTGAATTCTGTACACTGTTATCATTAATGTAGTGTGATATTATGCAATGCTTAACACCACACTACTGCATATTTAGATATAAAAATCGTTCATTTTGGACAATTAATAACGAAGTTACAGCTATTGAATTTCCAATGTAAGATTACAGGTTCATATCCTGGTGTCAGAAAGGGGTGAATGAGAGAAAAAAGATGACTAAGTGAAAATAACAAAATCTGTTACCCGCATCACACAATCTTCACTATTTCCTCTACTTTTAACAGGAATTATTGTTTGACAATACTAAGCTATGGGAAAAAGATTTTGGTCAGCAATATTAGGGAGTATTGAAATTTTTACACTGATCTACCTAAAGGCGGTTTATATTGCTTTAATTCATCAAATAAATCGTACTAAAATCTTTACTTCGATCAATTTCTAGTTCAATTCTTTTTTTTTTCTTCATGAACTTATGTAAAGATATAAAAGCTTTTCTGAAATAGGTAGGAAAGTCGTGTGAATGGACACACCGACACTCGTATTGCCAAACTGACCTGGAAGGGAGGAAATAAATAAATATAAAGCAATAGTGCAATGGTGTTTAACCAAGATTGGTTACTTAGAAAATTCACTTAATTTTTAGTTTAATTTCTGGTATATTTAACTATTTTTTGAATAGTTCACAACAATTGAAATCATACTCAATTTCTCTTAATTAATTATATAATTAGAATTATAGATCGTATAGAGACTGGATGTTTCTTTAAATTAATCACTTTAATTAAATCTTATGGTAAACATATGATCACCTGATAATGCAGACTTACTTCAAGAGCTTGGATGGAGACGACAGTGCTATGCTCCAACTTCTTCAACGCTTGTTGTACCTCAACAGGTAGCTTGAAGTACCTAGCAGGAGGACCTAGGTTCCGGATGGTATTGGCCAGGCAGAGTACAACCTTCTCCAGAGTTTCCTCAGGGAATGGGATCTTCAACTTGAAATAGGCCAACATCTGTAGAACGTAGTCTGCAGCTCTGTCTGCTATCGGCTGGAGCTTGGCCTTCTCCTTGGAGTACTCTCTCCGCCACAGCTCTGGAGTCAGCCTGCTCTCGCAACCCTCTTAGTCTTCAGCAAGATGATTTCTTTAATCATAATATACAGTAACAAATTCAATATGTGAATTTTAACAAATAGACCAATGAAAATCGTCCCAAAAATTTTAGAGTGGTTACAAAAATTACGATAGCCTTGATATCTTGTCTGGGGTACCGTTATGTTAAAGTATTCATTTTTTCCCATTCCCACTACCATAGCACAGAGTGGTCGATTGCAAATCTAGTAGGACTTAAGTCCAAAAATGGAGTTCGAGATTATGGTGAGGAACCTAATTGTACCATTAGATAGGCATGACTCAGAGTCCGCTGGGTGAATGTAAATATTGTATATAGCTGTGAATGCGTTTTATTTACTTTAATTTCATTTAGCTTTTATCTATTACTAGCTTTACCCGGCCACGCGCTGCTGTGGCTTAGGCTGGCAAAATGAAAAAGAAAGAAAATAGAAAGCACATATAAGTAGATTAGTAGATAAGGACATCAGCCATTTTTAAAAAGTTGGGAAGCAAATTTGTCTGTAAAATGGTTTCAATTTAAACTAATTCTAATGTTTTTTTTTCTCATGATTCAAATTGAACATTCATAATCATCTGAGTGAATACACCGTCATTCATAATTATCAGAAACAGTCTTAGTTGAACTTAACTAAATTAAAAAAATAATTTAAAAAACGTATAATAGTATTGACCTACATAAGGAGAATAATATAACTCCTTCAAATGATAATTTCAATTACTGTAGTAATTATAAAATTTTCAATTAATCAATAAAATAAAAAAAAATAAAAAATGCTTGCCTACCTTCGGTGGTGAGGAAGCAAAAGGAAACGGCCTTTTCTGAAGAGAAAGCAGTAAATGTTTAAAACTCTATAACTCTGCAACGAACCGTTCGATTTCGATGATTTTTTTTTATTTTGTCAGGAATTCAGAAATCTTTCAAATAAATATGGGTATTATCAATCAAATGTGTAATTTTTTAGTTATCGTCAAATAAAATATTGAATTCATCGTAACATTTTTCAGATTTTTTTCGGGAAAGCATGTTATACACATAAATTAAAAGGGTTTCAAGGGGAATACTTTAGCCAAGTTTCGTTAAAATCGGTAAAGCCGTTTTGGCGCTACAGTTTATAGCGATACATTTTTTGCTGCTTTGAACAGAAAAACATTTACATTTTTATTTTTTTTTACATATATAAAATTATCGTAAGACAGAAGTACTATGATAGAAACCTTCCCAGGAGTGTACGGAACAACTTCCCAAAGTTTCATGGCGATCGGTTGAATGGTTTAGTAATGCACTAAGGACAAACAAACGGACAGACAGACACACATTCATTCTTATATATATAGATTTCATTTTCTTGTACACAGGCATATCAATTTACTTATTTTATTTGTCTATATTTCTTTTTCTTTATTATCGAAATCTTAGTTATTATTTGTATGTGCATATTGTGTGAATGAATCATTAATGTGGCAGAATGTATTAATAATCAAGAAAAAAAAAAGAAAATCGAATAAATAAAAATCAAAGATCGATTTAAATTTGTATTTATAAATCAGGCATGGTTTTAAATTAAAAAATAATTATTTCATGATTTTGTGTAAAAAATAATTAACGAGTTCAAACCCTGGTGGTCAAATCCATGAAACGCTCTTATCACAGGTCTTTCAAGGGAATATATAGAAAATAAATTAATGTAATATGAACATTTTGTAATATTTATAACCACCAGCGGGTCCAGGATTTAATTTTGGGGGGGGGCTTCATCCTGAAAGCTTTTTTTTTCATATATATATATATAATGACAATTAATTTGAAAAAAAAAAAGAAAGAAAGGAACTACCTAACTATATGACATGTTGTTTAAGTGATTCTTGAAGTCTTAATTAACATATTTACACGAACAATAATACTTTAAGAGATAGTTTATAATATTTTTTTCTATAAAACATGGTTATATTTCACCATTTTGGGGGGAGGGGAGGGCTTCAGCCCGAAGTTAAGTTGAGAGTAATCGATTTTTTTTTTTATCCTGGATTCAGGATACATATATTTTTTCTTTTAAGATAATAATATTGTAGATACTTACTCATCTAAGGTTATCTTGCAAATCCTTCTGTAACTAAGAACTTTGTCCATTTGAAACAAGCAATCCTTGATGTTCTCCAGCGTGCCATTCGCAATCACGATTTGTATCGCCTTCACTTCGACAAGTTTCGCCATTTTCACAGCTACGTCCGTAACAGCTTGCAGCTCTTCCAAGTTTTTCTTCAAGTATTCATTAAATGAGTCGAGCATTTTAGCGTGCTCATTTCTAATCTGGAATAAAAATAAACGAAGATAAGCTTGTTTTAATTTTCAGTTGCTTTATTGAAAAATACAAAGCATTGTAAATAATATTAATTGACAAAACATTTTATTATAGTTGAGAAGATAACTAGCGAGATCGCTGGAAACGAAACAGCAGATTGCTTGGCAAAATCTGCTTTGCTTAATTTTATTTATTAGTTATACATATTTCTGGCTCACAATATATTTGCCATCTACCTCGGTATTCAGCAAATATGATATCAATGAGAAGAAATGGTAGCATAAAAAAAAGGATAGTAATAACAAAACAAAGAGACAAAAAAAAACAACAACAAAAAAAACAGTAGTAACATAACACATAATAACATAATAACACACAAAAAAAGATAATGCAGCAAGTAGCTCAATGCAATAAGTCTCTTGGCCAGCGCCTCAGCAGTCTTCTGGCCGGATTATATGGATTTGTGGCAGTAGATAGAGCTTGAGTAAGTGGATTGGAATTTAGAGTCAGTCTGTCATGAAAATATTAAAACGGTTAGTGGCAGTTGCTGCGATGAAAGGAGTGTTAAGGTCAGTGTGTAACGTGAGGTTTGATATATAAAAGGGTGCGTCTACAATTTTCTGAAGGACTTTTGACTGGAATGACTAGATTTGTACGTTTGATTTCTTTGCTGTTCCCCATAGTTCAATCCCATATGTCCAAAGTGGTTTAATGAGGACTTTGTAAATAGTTAATTTATTAGTCACAGATAATTTAGAACGTCTGTCAAGTAGCATAGAAAGAAGTCCGTATCGCTGAAGTTCTTTTCTTTTTTGTTTTATGTAATATGTCCATATCAGTCGTTTGTCCAAGTGGAGAACCAAATATCGTACAGTTTTTGAAGGTGGTAGAGCGATATTATTAAAGAACACTGGAGGACAAGAGTCATGTTTAAGTGTAAATGAAACAAATTGGCTCTTAGACTCGTTCATTTTTATTCTCCACCTTTTAGCCCAACAAGCTATGTCGTCTAGGTGTTCTTGAAGTACATGAGAAGCCTTAGCTGCATCCTTGTTAGATGTTAATATTGCCTAGTCATCAGCAAATGTAGCCAACAGTGTTTCAGAATGTTGTGGGATGTCTTCAACAGTAAATGTTGAAAAATGTTGGACCCAAGACACTGCCTTGAGGTACTCCATCTTTTATTTGTTTTATGGTAGAAAATTCAGTCCCCATTTTCACACGGAAAAATCTATCTTTTAGATATGATAGTAAAATTAAGTAATACTTCGGAGGAATAATCGTTTTTAATTTATGCAACAAACCATCGTCCCATATTCTATCAAAATCCTGATTCATGTCAAGAAAAACGCCAGGACAGTACAATTTCGATTCTAGCGAGAAAGATATGTAATCTACAAACAGAAAATGGCAACAAGCAACTAAAGGAGGGCCGATTTATAAATTTGTTTCAAAACTAACACAACCAACTATGACAAAATCAAAAGTACACACTACGAACTGATACAGTTTTTAACTGAATATGGACAATGAAGATGTTATTTTAAACGTTTTCATCTGACAAATACAGATCACTGCGACCGATAAACTCCTCAGAAATTTCATCATATTCTTTATGACTGCACTATTTTCGAATATAAACGGTACTACCTCATAAGAAATATAATTCTGCAAGGAGATAATTGGCCGCTGAAGGAATAAGACATCTTCAAGAAATATAAGAAGGAAATGTAGAGATTTACTACTGAAGTTGATCTTTAACTTCTTCAAGAACACTGATAAATAATTGTATTATATATATCCTTTTTATTTATTTTTTTATATTTTAATCTCTTTTGTTTTATCCTATATATAATTTCTAATAGGTGTTTTTTTGTGTCTATAACTTCGTCAATTCTTTATCAAATCCAATGATTGACCACTCATTTTGAAGATATTCTTTTCCTTCACATCCGAAAAATAGTCCTATCCCCCCAAAATTTCTGGAAAGAAAGTTATGAAGGAAAATAAACTTTATTTGCGAATAACTCAAAAAGTATACATTTTTTTCTGGATTGTACTCATGATAATTATAAAGATTACCTACAAAACAAACAAAAAATCATAAAAACCGGATAATTATTATCAAAGATTAGTTTTGGTATACTTAATAATGTCTTCCTCTTTAAAGATATTGCATTTTAAAGTAGAATAATCTACTACACTTTTTTTCCTGGCTGATATATTAACTTTATTATTTCTTAAAGGTATTTGTTTGTTCTTACATTTTATTTTTTTTAATAATTTAGTAAATCTCATTATTTTGTCTTTATTACTTTTATTATCTTTCCAGTCAGCGTTTAAAAAAAAATGGTCCTAGCAAAGCAATTTGTACAAATACTTTTGATCTATTATGTTAAATGGAATATTGTAATCGACCAAGGAAAACATATTAATTTCTTTCTTACATAATAAATAGGATCTACTTATTTCCATATTGTTTTGCTATTTCTTCACTAAACAAAATTTTCTGTTAATTATTCGCACGGGCTAACTAGTACATTATAAAATATATTGTTATAAATTAGAAACAAAATAAGCAAGAGACAGAACAATAAATGTTATGTTATTATTTATTTGGATTTTTTCTTATTATATTTTTATACTTTGTTAAATTTTTAAAATTTTATTTTATAACATATTTATGATTTTTATTAGATACGGCATAATTTGTATTAGTCGTTTTTTTCTGTTGAAGGGCTCATATAAAAGCTGTTATTTTAATACAATTAATTTTTTTTTCAATTCCGTTCTATGTTTTTCTCATGTACCCTGGTTGAAATTTCTCTGAATTTAAAATTCACCAATATATTGTTGCCTCAAATATCTAATGGAGATGACTGGATATATATTTGTAAAATCTAGATTTGGGTCACCTCAGGGCACATTTTGGTAAGTTTTTAATTAACAGGCTATTTATTCAATGGCAAAATCTTTTATAGATAGAAATTGTTCAAAAATTATTTATTAAATATAAAATTACTTACGCGTACAAGGTAATAAAGTTCTCTCAGTTTCCTCTCTTCATCGACCAATAGGACCTCTTCGTCGATGGCGTGCCTCAGCCTTAACAATCATTAATTAGAAATAATAATATATATTTTTCGAAGCATCATTCAATCTGCTTTAGCCAGCAATATTACTCTAATTTAATTAAGATTATATATATATAATCAGTTTAATTTAATTTATTGAATTGTTTTATTTATACAAATTATTTGGTTTATTAATTTTTTACTTTTTGCTTATGGCAGAGAAATGGACTATCACCGATGTCATTTAACTTAACATGAATCATTAAATCCTTGGATATGCAGATGATATAGCAGTTCTTGGAAGCAGTCAAGAAGACATTGAGAAACTCGCTAAGACTCTGGATAAGAGAAACATAACAAATTAATAAAGACAAAACAAAATATATGATAATAACAGGATCTGCTTAGAAGAGAAATCGTTCCAATAATTCCAAATTCCAATACCTCGGCTCCAAAATAACCTCAATGAATAACCAACGGCAGAAATAGACCAGTGTATAACAAGCACAAACAGAGCTTTCTTCTCCCTTTCAAAGATATTGAAATCCCAAAAAATATCGAGAAATCTTGAAATAAGGGTATATAATGCTATGATAAAGCCAATTTTAATACCTAGTCTTGTCATAAATGTTGCCACAAGGAAATATATACAGATTTCAACAGAAAAATTTTGTCAAAAACTTTATTAAAAAATAAAATTTATATCTATAGGGAGTAAAACAAAAAAGAAATTACTCAAAATGTCCTCCCTTTTGCATTGACACAGGCATTTAAACTCCGTGGCCGTCAATAGCAGCACACAGCACTTCTTGAGGAAAGCGCTCAACTGCTCGGACCAGAGATTGTTTGAGGCTTTCCAAGTTAGGGTGTGCTCTGTGGCATGCCATCCTCTCTAGTTCGTACCAAAGCCGATAATATAGTTGGTTGAGATCAGGGCTTCCTGAGGGCCAATCCGAGGCAGAGGTGAACTCTGGAATGTTCTATTGCAGCCACTGCTGAGTTGACCTGGCCTTGTGAGCTGGAGCAAAATCCAAAGACTTCCAGCAAACAGAGTATCATTTATAGGCTTGACAACAGGTTCCAAAATATCATCCTGATAGTTTTTAGCTGCTGTTTTAACTTCTGTTTCACAAAAATGGAGCTTTGTGGTGCCATCAAAGCAAACACCCCACCAAACCATCACTGAGTAAGGGTGATGACCCTTTTCCACTCTTCCAATGACTTCATATCCTTTTTTAGAGCTGTGTGCGTACACCCGATAATTTTTGCGATTAAATGTTTCTTCAATTGTAAAAATTTTCTCATCCGTACACAAAATCTTTCGATGAATGTAATCGATGGTGAAACGGCCACGGAGCACTTTCCATCTATCCACCTTTTTTAGCGAAGTGGTTAGCCTTTGTCCTGTCATTCTGAGAAATGCACGAATCATAAGGTCACATTTTACTATGCGAGACATTGATCTGACAGAGATTCCCATTTCTCGAGACATGATTTGTTGTTTTCGAATGGGATTTCTTCTGATTCGAGCAGCCACTGCTCTCACTGCATTTGCCGTTCTCACGATGCGGAGACGGCCCGGTCGAGGTCTGTCACATACAGATAGGGTCTCATTATATCTATTTTTAGTGCGGTACCCAAAAGGTTTGAAAATCTCTTTCCTACATTTTCCAAGTTTGTGTAAGGCGATAACAGCTATTGGGTTTTCTTTATCACCCCACTCCATATTAATTGTTTTTATTATTCTTATGTTTTTATTACCGTTATTCGTTTCACCTTTTTCTATTCTTAATTACATACTTTTATATTTTATATTTTTCAGATCTAATTTTGTATCTAATATTGTGTAACATTTCTTTTAGTATTCAGGTTTTTTAAAAAAGAAAAAAAAATGCACTATTGCATTGTTACGGTGATGTTTTAAAGAGGATTCGATACTTATCTAGATTTTCGAAAAAAATCGATTAGGGTCCACTCAAGAAATAAACAATTCAATTTGAAACTTTATCGATTATTAATAGGTATTGGTGTTGATATAACTTAGTCACCTGATATAAAAGGTTTTCTTCAACCTGGAGATGTAGCCATCTTTGTTGAAAAACGCCTCCTCGATCGGGCTTCCAACGATCATGTTGAAATAGTCAGGAGCATTTTTGGTGAGAGTATGTTTTGGTGGATATTGAGGATCGTCCTTTTAAAAATTAAATGTGTATATATATATATATATATATATATATATATATATATATATATATATATATATATATATATGAAATATATAGTAAAAAAATTATTGTGATCTTTAAAATTTTTGAATCTTAGTTTTCTACGGAAATACACCTTTTGAGATCTCTTGAGTCCAAATAACCAAGTCCCGCAAAATGGTCTGTGTCTGTTAACAGGCTAGCTCAAATACATAAGGAACGAAAGTGAAATTGCATATGTAAGGTTTTTATATGCTAACCTGAAGTAGCACTTTGTATCCTTTCTTAAACTCATTTTTACGATTTTCTCGAAAACGGCTCTAACGATTTTGATTAAATTAATTATATCAGTGAAAAATTAAGCTGTTTTAAATAAAATGTAGTTTTTATTCGGATTGATGCTGTCTAATAGGGCTTAAATAGCTGATTTTCAATATTAGCTTCCCCTAAAGTATATATATTTTTTTTAATTTGAAACAATTGACTATTTCACGTTAATACACAATATGAAAGAATTTGATAACTAAAGGAAAAATAATAGAGTGTAATGGAGAATAGTTGTAATTGAGGAATCAACTGAATATCAGTGCATGCGAACTCGCCCTAAAGATTTGAACACGCTTCTATACATGAGCTTAATATAATAGGGACTCATTATATAAATATACATATGTGGTTTTCATATGTTGTTGGCATTATTTAATATTTAATTCTATAGATTACAGCGATATAAATATTACAATTTGTATATATAATGGTATTTATACAAATAAAAATATCCACAATGAAATATAAATAGATATAGCGTCTATAATTTTTACTTTCTCTTCCCCTTTGTATGAAAATACTTATTTCTGCTATGAAGAGTGTGGTACGTGAAAGTTGTGTAACGCACCAGATTTGTTTTTTTAATATCTATGTATAAATCTGGATATTTATTTTATTTTCTGCTTATTTAATCGATCTATTGATTGATTTTCATTTATGTTAGTTTTGTTATTCGTAAGGAACATAGTCTCAAAATAAAGTTTATTTTTATATTCTACTGGCTTTACCCGACCATGCGCTGCTGTGGCTTAGGCTGGCAAAATGAAAAAGAAAGAAAATAGAAAGTACATATCAGTAGATTAGTAGCAAAGGACATCTGTCATTTTTAAAAAGTTGGGAAACAAATTTGTCTGTAAAATAGCTTCAATTTAAACTAATTATAATGTTTTTTTTTTCTCATGATTCAAATTGAACATTCATAATCATCTGAGTGAATATGCCCTCATTCATAATCATCAGAAACAGTCTGAGTTGAACTTATAAAACTAAAATAAAAAATTAATATAAAGAACGTATAATAGTATTGACCTACATAAGGAGAATCATATAACTTCTTCAAATGACAATTTCAATTACTGTAGTAATTATGAAATTTTCGATTAATCTACCAAAAAAAAATGCTTGCCGACGTTCGGTAGTAAGGAAGCAAAAGGAAACGTCAAAAAAAAAATTATTTTTCGATTCCAGTGAAAATTGGTATTTAATGGTTTATCGAGGTGCGAAATACAAATCTCAATTTTGTTTTTCTATAAAAAAATAATTTAACCCACTTTACTCCTACGGCCGCTAGAAATAGTTTTATTTTCGAAATAATGTTCATCTATTTCGATGATTTTTTTTTTTATTTTGTCAGCGATTCAGAAATCTTTCAAATAAATGTGGATATTATCAGTCAAAAATTGTGTACTTTTTTAGTTATCGTCAAATAAAATATTGAATTCATCGTAACATTTTTCAGCTTGTTTTCGGGAAAGTATGTTATACACATGAATTAAAAGGGTTTCAATGGGAAGACTTTAGCCAAGTTTCGTTAAAATCGGTAAAGCCGTTTTGGCGCTACAGTTTATAGCGACACATTTTTTGCGGCTTTGAACAGAAAAACATTTACATTTTTATTTTTTTTACATATATAAAATTATCGTAAGACAGAAGTAATATGCCAGAAACCTTCCCAGGAGTGTACGGAACAACTTCCCAAAGTTTCATGGCGATCGGTTGAATGGTTTAGTAATGCACTAAGGACAAACAGACGGACAGACAGACATACATTAATTTATATATATATAGATTATATTATGGAAAATTAAGTTAGAAATGAAAAAGGATTAATTTCTCTTAGAAATAATTGAATTTAATTGTAAAATAAATTACTTAAAAATTATACTAAATTAACTAACCTCAGGTATATAAATCCTGTCGTTTATTCCGATGACAGGCTTATCCCTCCTGCTGGGCTTGAGGTAGTGAGGCAATGTCTTAATATAATCCAGATGGACCTGTTCGTTCGGTCGGTTCTGGGAGTCGATGATGTAAGGAGAACATTCCTTCTCAACCAATCTGGGGCAGGTGATCTGAAACCAAAAATCACGATAAATAAAAAAAATCTACGCTATAGTCAGAAAATAATAAAACATGAAAAAATATCAAAAACTAATTGGCTTAGGCAGTAAAAAACACCAGGAAAGTCAACTTAAAAAAAAAAAATCAAGTAGAAAATCAAGCGTCGTTTGTAATTAAACGGCCAACAATAACGCAAAATGTGCTAAAGTAAAACATCTGGAGAATATATTTTTCTTTCTAAAACACTTATTACTTCTTAAAATATTTGAAACAGTTCCGTAGAAAACGCAGTTATGCGGAAAAAAAGCGGTACTGGCGTGGGTGCCTACAGGCCTCTACCACACCATTCAGTACACATAAATGGCTATAGTGATATAATAACGTTTTTGGTACATTATATTGATTGCGTTAACGAACAAATATTAATACAATAATTTAATTTTTTTTAAAATTTATTATTTTTTTAAAATTTAACTTCCTTTATTCTATACGGAGGCCGTTTAAGAAGGCCTCTGTTATAAAAATTATATAATCTCAACATCCCATTTATCCTAGACCTTATTCCAGAAAAAAATCCTCAAAATTTTCACCAGAACCTTACGTACCACCCAAATCCTCTTGCACAATCCCTATCAAGCACCACCCACCCCTATAATCCTCCAAGAAGGTTGAAACGGCAGTGGTTTCGTGACCTTTTGTAGATTCTATATATTAGAGTTCTGGAGTGTATGTAGCTAAAGTGCTCTCGACCAATCTCCGCTGGCTTTAGTACCAGTGTTACGGTTGAAAGAGTAGCGCAGGGTTCTCCTGGAGTTCCCTTGCCTAATTGTATATAGGTATGCATGTGTTTTTTTGTTTAGTTTTAATTTTCTTATGTTTAGGTTATTTTATTTTATTATTTACTGTACACTGACAGGCAAAAAATTCCACCCACTTGAATTTTTCACGTTTTCATCTAAAAATATTTCTGCTTTGAATTGGTCTATTGTTTTTAATGAATAAATAGGTAATCTTTTTGTTTGTTTTCAATTAGGAATGTTAATATATTGGAAAATAACCCTTAATCATTAATTCAATGAAATAATTCTAGATTCCAATGTTTACTTTCTATGGAATCAAAATGTTTATTCAGTATCATTAGTTCAGTGCCGTTTCTTGCAGCACATTTCTTAGTCTCCGGCTTTTAATTTTTTCAATATTAAGTTTAAAAATGCCTCTTAGTATATCTTTGCTGGAGGATAGCCCATTCCTCCCGAAGAGCCCTTTCAAGGTCTTGCAGTGTATCAGGAAGTGTGGCACGCGCTCTTATTAGTCTTCCGAGGTTATCCCATAGGTTATCTCAATGGGGTTCAAATCTTGAGAACGTGCTAGCCAGGCTAAAACCTCAATATTTTTCTGTTGAAGGGACGTCTGCACTATGCGGGCGACATGTGGGCGTGCATTATCGTGCATTAGAATATTACGATCGCCGATTTAGTTGAGGATAGGCAACACACGAGGTTCCAAAATCTCATCTGTATAGCGAAAGGCTGTCAAAGACCCTCCACGAACAACAACCAATTCTGTGCGGCGCTCCATTGAAATTCCAGCCCACACCATTAACGAACCACGTTGCAAAGGTTGGCTATAGGAAAAATTACAGGCTGCATATCTTTCGTTTCTTCTTCTCCACACCCTTTCACGCCCGTCTGGAGACCGAAGAGCGAATCTTGACTCATCTGTAAAAAGTACAGCACTCCACTCGTCCATAGCCCAATGGGTGCGTTCTCGAGCAAAAGCCAGCCGTGTTACTCTGTGAGTTCTGGTCAACTCTGGTCCTCTTATTGGACGAAAAGTCATTTAATCACTGGATTCATACTCATTTAATTCCGAGCGGTACGTTCAGAAATTTGCACACCTCGAACTTCTTCGAGCTGATGAATCGCTTGAACAACGGTAAGGTGCCGGTTTCGTAAAATTCTCAAAGTCAAAAACCGGTCATCCCGTGGTTCTGTTACCCAGAACCGGGCCTTCTATTGTAAGAACCAGGTTCCCGAAAACGCTTGACGGCGTCTCGTAAAGTTTCATATGGAACTCCGATGGAATTAGCTGCATATCTAATGGAAAGTCCATCATCAATAAGTGCCACACCACGCGCAACATCCTCAGCACTAAGAGGCAATTTTAAACTTAATATTGAAAAAATTAAAAGCCGGAGACTAAGAAATGTGCTGCAAGAAACGGCACTGAACTAATGATACTGAATAAACATTTTGATTCCATAGAAAGTAAACATTGGAATTTAGAATCATTTCATTGAATTAAGGGTTATTGTCCTCTACATTAACATTCCTAATTGAAAACAAACAAAAAGATTACTTATTTATTCATTAAAAACAATAGACCAATCCAAAGCAGAAATATTTTTAGATGAAAACATGAAAAAATCAAGTGGGTGGAATTTTTTGCCTTTCAGTGTGTATACTTTTGATAATTATTTTGCTTCTATTTATTTTATATTTTTTGTACATATAGTGTGAATGTCATCCTACCTCACTATAACCAATGTCCAAGGGACAGATTGTTGTAATACTCAATAATTAAAAAAAACTCTTTTGCTGCAAATATCTAGAATCAACCTCCAATCCTTCTCAGAGTATGACTATTGATAACTGAGACTCCCAGTATACATGATGGAAAAAAGTTTTATTTTATTTGAATATTGTCAGTTTTCTTATTAATGTTAGTCTTAATTGAACAATATTGATTGACAATCTTGATTGACAATATTGACCATAAGAGTTACCTTTCTGCCGCTGGTAAAATAGTAGCTGACAGGCTTCTCGTAGCAGCTCTGGTGCATGAGCTTATCCCTGTCGGTCACCGTCCGCACACGGTTGGGTTCTCTTCTAGGTCGAAGGCTCTTCAGGTACTCCACCAACTTCGTCTTCGCGCAGGCAGGGGTCTGCGCGGCCTTCAGGTCATCGATGGTGAACGTGCTGCTTTTCATCTCTTTACTAACAGAAGATAAGGAGTTAACTAAATTCAGCCAGTGATAAATGAATAAAAAATAAAGCGTTTATTCCGAAAAACAGGGTGTCTTAAGTTTTTCAAAAAGTTCATCTGATGCATGAATCGATCCAGAACGGAAAAAGAACTAAGACCAATTTTGTATCTTCCTTAATGTTGGGGCCAGGGGTACTTCAAAATCGAAGTACAAATCTTTCCCCGGTGAGTTTCCTCAAAGGTGGGGAAAATTCGAGTAAAATTAAAAATGTTGAGAAAGAAGGAAAAAAAGAGTAAAAATGAGACCTGTAAAACATTAAAGAAAAAACAAAACAAATGCATGCATAAGAAAATAATATTAAATAAAAATATTCAATAAATCAAAAAATTGAAAAATCATAAAATCCCCTTCTAAATGTTTACAATTTATTGAATAAAAAAGAGATATAAAAAAAAAAAAATTGTTAAAACCAAATAAAGAGTGATATGAAGTTCACTGAAATGAATAAAACACAAAATATAATACTCAGTGAAAATAAACCCAAATTAATAATTATTAATAAAGCATAAAGAAATTAATTTCTAAAATTTAAAATAAAACAAGAGAGAAAAATGTATGTGGTAACGGTGAGAGAAGTGAACGAAAATATCCCAAATTGGAGGCTATATTTCCAAAGAGGTTACCTGATGTTAAGCTGTCAAAGCAGTCGATGGTGGGGGGATCGATACGCATATCGATCCTGATCGATGATACAGCTGTTATAAAAAAAAAATGGCGCTAGGCTGCTGAGTCGAGGTGAACCTGGAGCAGCAGGTGGGAGTAACCGTCCACTACGTGGATCCAATCTCATCAAAGGCTAGCTCCAGACTGCCGCCCAGCAGTTTTATCGCAGTATTTGTGTCTTAATCCCTAAGACAGGGTATTACTGCCGGGCTGGAGCGTATACACAAACGCGATAATACATCGCAAAATAAGCCTAAATATATAAATACCATAAACTTATATACATTTTAGGGACACTATTCCTCAGCTTATTGCAAAAAAAAAATATATATATATATTTATTCCATTTACATTCAAAAAGGATAAAAATAGTGAGACAAAATAACCATAAAAAAATAAAGATACGAGTGTATGCGGCGTTAACACTTAATATAAAAACATCTGGTGTGTCCACTCACAAGACTTTCCTACCTATTTCAAAGACTCAGGGGGCTCTGAAACGCACCTAGTATAGGTAGGAAAGTAATAAGTTAATAAATGTGTAAACAATAAAATAAGCTGTATCATCGCCGATTCCGATGATTTTTTTTTTTGTCTTGTTTGTAATTTAATTACCTTTCAAAAGTTTTATTATAAATTGTACCGTATAACATACACTTAGGGAGTTAGGCCCCATAACATTTTTTTTTTCTTTATAACTTTTTTTCTGATTTTTTGGGGAGAATTTAGTCTATATACAAAAATTGAAAGGACAATGATTAAAACATTATAGGAAAGTTTCATCAAAATCGGTAGAGCAGTTTACGCGCTACAGTCTATAGAAAAACATGTTTTTTCATTTACTACGCGCAAGCTATTGCGTATGGAGAATTTCTGTCACAGGCATCAGTAGTCTAACCCTACAAAATAAAAAAAGGAGCAACAAAATCGGTTCAGCATTTCCCGAGAAAATCTTGGCACAGACAGACCAATGGCTGAAAATGTGTTTTTCGTATTCAGGAGGCTCTGAAACGTATAGATCCGGCGAAAACCTCATATCGGAAATTTGACCTGATTGCAATACTTTCCTTACCTAGTATAGGTAGGAAAGTAAAAAATGCTCAAAAATTATTCAAGATAATTAAATTCTAACCATCGTACTCAACAGTACTGCGATCGTATTTGGCATCTTGAAAGTTCCTATTATCAATGTTCTTAATAAATGTGCTTATCATTTAATTATATTGAATACTTTTCGAATATCTTAAAAAAAAAGACAGAAATTTGGTCGATCCATGCATCAAATGAACTTTTTGCCTGGATATTTTATCTAGAATCGTCCCTTCTTTTTGCCATCAAGAAGAGAGACAAAATGTATAATAATATAAAATGATACTTTTTTTGGTTTTAAATCATTCAAATAGATTATAAATAAAACCAAAAATAGAAACACAGACAAAAATAGTAATTTGTTTTACTTCCCTTCCTCATCTTTAAGGCTGCATGGGGGTTTTCCTGGGACAGAGGTGAGGGCGAGGGATTAATGAAAGGGTTAAAAGCATCCTCCCAGCACCAGGACGCGAACTTAAGCTTATTTTTATCGTCTAAACTTCAAAACCCCGCCTCCATTTCCTCCTACTTATTATAGTCATGTATATGAGTCTTTTGTAATTAATTGGAAGTTTAGAGCGTTTGTCTAGTAAGTGCTGGAGTAGTCGGAAACGAGATGTGGTTTCTTGTCTGGTATGATAGTCCAAGACACATTGAACGTTATCTGCCTGAGGAAATCGGGCATTGTCGAGTTTCAAGTCGAAGGCTAAAATCTTGGTTGAGTCGATTATAAATAGTTAATACTGGATTTTGTTCGCTCACCTTTATTTCAAGTTCTGGTTATTATATGAAGAAGTTATCAAACGAAGTTACACAGAATCTAAGATCAACCGGAAAAATAATCGCGTCAAATGAAACATATCTCTTTGGCATAAATTAAAATGTATTTCTCAACACATGTGTGTTAGGTTAAAAACAACTCACATGGGGAATCTCGAATAATTTTGAATTCTTTTTGAAGTGAAATTCTTCTTTAGGCGCGTTTTGCAATTTTTTGTAGATAGTAAATTATATTGATGCGTCAGATTTCGTTCGGCATTAACGCTCGGTTAAAGTCGGCTAGTGTCGACTAATTAAAATATTTTTACATATGAATTAAAATATCTCAGAAACTATAAATCGAGCCTGCATACTGTAAGCGAGAAAATTGTTCAGCATTTCATCCCCCCTGTAACAGGTTATGATTCAAAATTGTATCTTAAAGGAACGGTGTGTTAGGGAGGCGAAAAGGAAAAATAGTGTCGAAATGATAAGGTTAGTTAAACATACGGATAAAAATATTTGAGATACTGAAAATTGGATCTGTATACTGTAATGATCTGTTATTTATAATTTATATTTCATATTATTAATCTAGCCTTGGTGATGTTTTCACATATAGCGTGAGGTCTAAAGCACACACCTTATTTTTCATTTTTTTTTTTTTGTCAATGTTCAACAAAACATTTCTCGTAGAGAATTTCTTCTTGGTGACAGCAATCTCTGAAGAGGAATTTACACGTAGATATTTTAAAGAAATATCTCTTTAAAAATCCATTTGGAAAATCTAAATGGAGTACAAAATCGTAATCGACTTTATCATATAATGATATAGTGAGTGTAAGAAGGATCGGAAATAATAAATATGGAAGAAACTAATTAATACGGAAGTAATAATTGAAAACATGAAACCTAATAAACAATATTATTATGTAGCGTGCATAGAAAAAAAAGAAGACCGTTTTATCAAATTTAAGATTTAAAAGTACTGTAAATATTTTAATACTTACCAATACTTAATAACCCTTTTAGAACATTCTCTAAACTTGTTTAATCCCATTCGACTTCTTTGAAAAAGAAACCTCAGTTTAGTTATTTGTTTCAAAGAAGAAACATGACAGTGTCCTACGAAATTCTCGTAATTTTAAGGCATTACTGAAGAAAAAAAATTCACGTGAAATTATTAAATATGAGAGGGAAGGTGTCCTTGATCAGCTCACTACGCGGCGTTAGTTTAAAAAATTTATCAGTGGAGATACTACGCTGGAAAGAATGGCTCTGGGTGACCATTAATGGATATTGATGAGGTTCTGCAGGAAGCTGTTGAGTCAAATCCGTCGGGATACGTAGAGCTCAAAAAACGAATAAAAGTTCTTTTATCCGTCCGCGCATCCTCTTTAACTACTAGACGGATTTCTTTCAAATTTGGATTTAAAATTAGAGGTCACCCGAGGATGATCCTCCTCCTTCATCGACATTACTACCCGCCTTTTCCTTTAAAGATGGAGGCCAAAAACCTGCATTTCTAGACTATAACGCCTAAACGAATGTACCTATTTCAATTAAACTTAGCTAAAGTCTTCTTCACGATGCCCTTTAAATTTATTTATATGATATCCTTTAACGAAAAGAAGCAGGGAAAAAAGTTACGAGGGATGGTATAATTAGATTCCGAATAACTCAAAAAGTATACACTTTTTGCGGATATTTTGGTAAGATGTTTCAAAAGTATTTAAATTTTCTACAAAAAATGAAGGAAGTTTCATCGAAATCGACGTAATGTTACTTTAGATGTATAATTGTTTGGAAATAATCAACCATTGTTAAGTAATTTGCAGCGTTTTTTTAAATAAATATTTTTATACTATCCTTTTTATCCCCACATATATTATTACAGCAAGGCTCGAAATCGGTTTTGTACTAAATATAAGCTCCTGTCGTGCTCAAATACAATGAATGGGGTACCGTTGGATTCAGAAGTTCACGGGGGATTAGCGAATTGTATTCTCCACTTTTGTTTTTCTTTCTAAAATAAATGAAGTCGATACAAACATTTTGCTAGGCTTCAATACTGGAACGGTGGTAGATCGATACGGGACAAATTGGATCTTGAAGATTTTGATGCGTACAGCTAGACCCCCAGGATACTGCGTTTTTAAGCCCAAAACGTACTATTTTCGAGATAACGCAAGGCATAGGGTTCGCATCCACACAGCCTTACATTAATTGTGGTACTGTCATTGATGTCTCATTTCGTCGACTTGAGGTCTCTATGATTGAGAGAGAAGGAGTTTATATTGTTTATCGATGGTGTTTTTGATCGGCAAGCCATATCAGCCTTATCATCGTTAATTTTTCACCAAATCTCAAGATTGAGCCACCAATTTCGAAGGCTTCCTTCTCCTTCAGGCGGGCAAAATAGTCCAATCACCCCGAAAATTCAGGAAACAAGTTATGAAAGAAAACAAACTTTATTTGCGAATACCTGAAAAATTACACACTTTTTCCTTGGTTATGCCCATGATTATATAAAATATTACAAAATCCTCTACAAAAGGAAAAAAAATAATCGAAATCGGACTATTTTTAGCAAAGATACACCTTACTGAAATTTGTGAACATGTTGGTTCTAAACAAAAATGAAGATTTAATTTAATTTTTGTTTTCTTTGTCGATTATATTTATCGATAAAATAATATTTGATTTATTTATCTTTTGATACCTTGCATTATTTTATTTTCTTATTAATTTGGCATTTGATAACAATATGCTGTGCGAATTTTTCGTACGGGCCTACTAGTTTATTTAAATCTCACATGATGTTTGCCCTATATTCAGTCACGTATGCTATCGTATGTTATTTTCTATTTTTATCTAAAAATTAAATGCCATTAGGAGAAAAATTATTAAAAAGATACCATGAAGAGATTTCCAATTTTTAATTCAAATCAGGAAAATCCAGAAGTATTAGAAAATTTAGTAAAACATGTAAATGAACTGATGGATACTAAAAAAGGAGTCTTTGCCATGGATGAGCATGTTTTAGCTTTTAATTTTTTATTTTCATTATACAATCGAGACAATGATTGGGAGAACAGACGTCTTCTACGCCAGTTCCTAGTAACAGCTCCTCTTGAAAAACAATTCTCGGCGATACTCTTATCAGAAGAATTCATGAAGCAAAGCGACGATGAAGCCATCGAGTTCTTCGACATAGTAAAATCAAAACATCTGCTACTTGGAGTCCGCCTGGATATAGGGACCTCCACGATGTTCGGGCTGGAAGGGGAATATGTTAGCACTGGAGTGAACAATTTAGTAGAATGTTTTAATTTTTATAAGGAACGAGGTTGCTTATACTCAAAATTCCGAAGCATATACCAAATTGAAGATTATTGCCCTACACTTTGTGGCACTGAAAAGATTTCGTATAGGTTGGCCAGGTTTGCAGCGCTCTCGCAAGCGAATGGATTAGTTCCTATAATCAGTGTGGAGGTAGTTCCGGATGGGACTGAAGACATCTATAAAGCCAGAATAGTCTTAGAGAAGATACTGATTAATTTGATAAAAGCATTGAATGATCTTGAAGTTTTCATCGAAGCTACAATCTTGCAAGTAAGTTTCGTCCAACCAGGTCATATGAGGAGATCGTGTTCTATTTCACCGGATAAGATTGCTGAACAAACCGCGGAAGCTTTCAAGAGGAGTTTACCGATATCATTGGGAGGTTTGTTATTCCACTCTTCCGGTCTCAGTGAAGAAAATGCCACTCAAGTACTTAATCGCATGATACTTTTAAAAGAAGCAAATGAGTCTATGTTGCCATGGAAAATGAATTATTCGTTCGGGAGAGCACAGAAGGTAATTAAACTTATAATAGGGTGACTCCATGGTAACCGTAAAATTTCGATTTATTATTTAAAAAAAAAAAAACGCTCCAAATTATTTCACAATGATTTATTATTTCCCAATAATTATACATATAAAGTAACATTGCCTTTACATTTGCTGATGCTCGGCAATATTAACATCTAACAAGGATGCAGCTAAGGCTTCTCAGGTACTTCAAGAACACCTAGACGACATAGCTTGTTGGGCTAAAAGGTCGAGAATAAAAATGAACGAGTCTAAGAGCCAATTTGTTTCATTTACACTTAAACATCCTCCAGTGTTCTTCAATAATATCGCTCTACCACCTTCAAAAACTGTACGATATTTGGTTCTCCACTCGGATAAACGACTGACATGGACATATTACATAAAACAAAAAAGAAAAGAACTTAATCAGCGATACGGACTTCTTTCTAGGCTACTTGACAGACGTTCTAAATTATCTGTGACTAATAAATTAACTATTTACAAAGTCCTCATTAAACCACTTTGAGCATATGGGATCGAACTATGGGGAACAGCAAAGAAATCAAGATATAAAAATCATCCAGTCATTCCAGTCAAAAGTCCTTCGGAAAATTGTAGACGCACCCTTTTATGTTTTAAACCTCACGTTACACACTGACCTTAACACTCCTTTCATCACGGCAACTGCCACTGACCGCTTTAATAATTTTCATGACAGACTGACTCTAAATTCCAATCCACTTACTCAAGCTCTATCTACTGCCACAAATCCATATAATCCGCCCAGAAGACTGCTGAGGCGCTGGCCAAGAGACTTATTGCATTGAGCTACTTGCTGCATTGTCTTTTTTGTGTGTGTGTTTGTTATTGTGTTATAATGTATGTGTTATTTTACCACTGGTTTATTTTTTTTATTTTATTTTTTTTTTTGTTATTACTATTCTTTTTTTTATGCTACCATTTCTTCTCTTTGATATCATATTTCCTGAATACCGAGGTAGATGGCAAATTTATTGTGAGCCACGATTATGTATAAATAAATAAAATACCTTTCTAGTGACAAATGAAAATAAATAAACAGTTAATTCCAATTATTTGTATAAACATTTTTTTTCATCATTAGTAACTTGCTAAAAAAAAAAAAAATAGCATTACTTGAGTAACACATTCAAAAAATTAAAATCCAAAACAAAGGATTTGCAGTAAAACATAAAAAACATCTAGAGACCATATCTTTGCTCCTAATTGTCCGATTTTAAAGATTTTTGTTTGTTTTTAGGAAATTCCGTAAACTTTTAAATAAACATATACAATATCTACAAAAAAGTCTATAATTATTGAATTATTCGGAATCACAATGGTCCATTATTGAAAATAATAAACCAAACATATTTTAAATATATGTTTACTAATAGTGCTCTGATTTCGATGAAACTTTCTTAATTTTTTAGGAAATTTAAATACCTTTGAAACAATTTATCGAAATACCCACGAAAAAAGTGTATACTTTTTGAGTTATTCGGAATCTAATTTTACAATCTCTCGTAACTTTTTTTAGTTGAAGTATGTTATATAGATAAAAATCAAGAAGAAGACTTTAGCCAAGTTTCATTGGAATCGGTTCATTCGTTTAGGCGCTACAGTCTATAGCAACGCAGGTTTTTCGGCCGCCATTTTGAAAGTAAAAGGCGGACAGTAAGGTCGATGAAGGAGGATCATCCTCGGGTGACCTCTAATTTTAAATCCAAATTTTAAAAAAATCCGTCTAGTAGTTAGAGAGGATGCGTGGATGTATAAAAGAACTTTTATCGTTTTTCGAATTCTACGTATCCTGAAACGTGATACCTCAAATTTTGAGAAGGGGTTAAGTTTTTGAATTTTTTTGTTCGATTACAATGGTTCACTATAAAAAATAATAAACCAAAAATGCATCAATTATTCCAGTTATGTACTTTTAAATTTGAGTTGTTATAGAATTCAAGTTGGGCTTGTAAAGTTGTTGGACTTAGTAACGAGAGAATTCCTAAAAGGTTAATATTTGCTGTGCCGAATGGTAAGCGTCCGAGGGGTAGACCGAAGCGAAGGTGGGAAGATTGCATTAAAGCCGATCTGAAGGGACTGGATTTGGACGGCGAACGGTGGATGGAGGTGTGTAATAAGCGATTGGTGGTGTCGGAATCGAACCTTCGGGTTCGCTAAGCCTTTTCATTATTATTATTATTATTATTATAGAATTCAAGTGATAAAGTATATACGAGGTGGAGCTATTACATTACGAGACGGATGCTGTGAAATTGTTTATAAAACTTGTTATATCGATTTCAAACATATTTACTTAACTATTTTTTCTGTTGGTGTTACAGACTTTGTAAATCTTTTGCCACCACAACAAGCTTAATCCATTGCTGCATTTATCTTCTTGGAATATTTATTTCTAATTACCTGCATGTCATTGCTGCTTTTTGTCCTTCCATGAGTTTTTTGCATTCTATTGTGGCATTCATTGTCGTGTAGACCATTCCTGATTGTTTTGTTCTGAGCTATATACCCAATCCATATTAACCTAATTGCCCTTATAGCATGAGATATTGATTAAACAGTTTCTGATAACAGCTCTTTATAAGATTTTCTACTCCATGTGTCATTTATTCCCATACCGAGAAGGTTATTGCGAAGATAAAGACAGGAAAAGCAGCAGGCCGAGACAACATAGTCCCAGAATTTATTAAATATGGTTTACCAGAGTTGGTAGGAGCTCTTCAAAACTTCTTCCAAAGAGTTTGGGATAATTAAATAATCCCTAAGGAATTGGAGCTCAACATTATAATACCCATACATAAGAAAGGAAGCAAAAGTGATTGCTCTAATTACTGTCCTATCTGCCTGTCTCCAGTCCTCTATAAACTATATACCTTCATCCTAGAAGAGCAAAGTGCTTTTACGCCCGAAAGGGAAACAAATGATCACATCTTTATTTTGAGAAATGTGATAGAGAAGTCCTGGAACCGTGACCGAAATATTTACCTCGCCTTCTAAGACTTGAAGGCACCATTCGATTCGGTTCTCCGGAATAAAATTTAGGAATCCTTGAAGGCAAAACAGATCCCAACAAAGCTTTTAAGGACTATAAAATCGACTTGATGTGCGCTTGATGTTAGAAATTTTTGCTGATCCCCACAGTTCTAGTTCGGCCAAATCGTCGGTTGAGTTTGTGTTGCAGAATAATGCCGTTTTCGTTAACATTCGGTAGTCACTTTTCAATTAAAGATTTATTTACGTGATCCAATTTTTCACAATAAAGGGCTGTATTTACAGTTTGTCCGGTTTTCATTCAGCACTTTAAAATGAGCAATGCCGGGAATACTCCACCATACTTTTAAACTTTTTTGGTTTTCTAATTGCTTTGGTGCTATATCCAAATTTTCTCTGATATTTTTTTATAAACCTTTACAACTCACTGTTGAACGTATAGTTTCCAACTACATATATGGTTCATATCACTTTAAATCTTCGTTTACAATTAAGTTAAGAATTTTTTGTCTTAGGCTTCAGCGATTATGACGTGGGGAGGTGATCCCAATTTCGAAGAAGCCGGTCATCGAGAGTTGATGGAACGAGCGAAAGCTAACAACGAAGCTCTCTTGGGAAAGTACGTCCCTAAAAGTGTCCAAGGTTCCTTCTCAGATCAGAAGTTGTACGTGCCTAATTACATCAGCTGAAAATTTAAATAAACATATAAATTTGAATGAGCTTATTTTTACTTTCACTTAATACATAATAATAAAAGGCTTAGCGAACCCGAAGGTTCGATCCCGACACCACCAATCGCTTATTACACGCCCCCCTCCACCGTTCGCCGTCCAAACCCAGTCCCTTCAGATCGGCTTTAATGCAATCTTCCCACCTTCGCTTCGGTCTACCCCTCGGACGCTTACCATTCGGCACAGCAAATATTAACCTTTTAGGAATTCTCTCGTTACTAAGTCCAACAACTTTACAAGCCCATTTGATTCGCCGCGATGAAATTACCTCAATTATATTACCCGGATACAGTTCACGCAATTCGGCGTTGTGTAACCGTCTGTACTCTCCGGATAACTCATCCTTCTTCGGTCCGAATATTCTACGCATTACTTTATTATCAAAAACCTTAAGACGCTATTCATCCCTTAATGTAAGCGGCCACGTTTCGCATCCATAAAGAACTGTAGGCAAGATAATAACTATCGAGGAATTTCACTCCTTCCGGTATGTTATAAAATATTCACTTTAATCTTAACCAGTCGAATCACGGAATACGCCGAGGAAATTATCGGAGACTACCAATGCGGATTTAGACGGAATCGTTCTACTATTAATAAAATATTTTCTTTCCGGCAAATATTAGAAAAAAAAATGGAGTACAACGGTATTGTTCACCAGCTGTATATAGATTTAAAAAAGGCTTACGATTCTATTGACCGCCAAAAACTGTATAATATTCTAATGGAGCAGGGGATTCCTAAAAAAATAGTAAATCTAGTCAGGATGTGCTTGACGGAAACACTCAATAAAGTTAGAATCGGTAATAATCTGTCCGAAAAATTTGAGGTTCGTTCGGGTTTAAAACAGGGGGATTCCCTTTCGCCCGTCCTGTTCAATTTGGCATTAGAACATGCCATTAGGGAAGTAATGCGTACCGAGAAAGGGTTGGATCTGGGTGGGACAACATCCGTGCTGGGCTATGCTGATGATCTGGTACTGTTAAGCGAAGACGTGGAAACTATAAAACTAAATACGACAACGTTAATGAAAGCCGGTAAAGAACTATGACTCGAAATAAACGTGGATAAAACAAAATATATGGTTAGCTGCAAAAATGACGATACTACTGGGGATATCCATATAGATGGTAATATGTTTGAACATGTAGATAAATTTAGGTATCTAAGTTCTACAATAACTAGAAAAAACGAAATTGAAGAAGAGATTAAGGTTAGACTGAAGGCGGTAAATGGTTGTTATTTTTCTGTGACAAAACTACTTAGTTCCTGAGGCGCTGCTTTCAAAAATGGCGGCTGATTTAAAGAATATTAGGCCAATAATTTGAGGATCGAAACGGGAAATCCATTGCGAAAAATGTGAGAAAAGTTTCTATTATTTTAACTTGTATGGGGTTTTAGACATGTAAAAAACAAAATTGCTAACGCGGGCCACCAAGGGAAAACTTTTTACAGCCAAAAAAGTCAGATTTTTTCGATATTTTCTGGGTTTTTCATCTATAACTCCTAAACAATGCATCAAAGCGACAAATGTATTCTTTAATAAATTAAAGAACGTTAAATTTTGCGTTAAACGAGTACATAAACATTAAAATTGGTTTCGCGGTAAGGTATAAAACCACGGTCGACCAACTCTCAGTTCTACCAAATTTCTCAAAAACTGAGACAAATTACTATAAATGGCCCTGTAACTTGGAAATGAGTTCCCTAAGAGGAAAAACTCATAGAATCAAAGTTTTAGAGCATCAAATTTCGCGTATTGTACAAATTTACTATATATATTCAATAATGAAACATTGTGATCGACCAAATAATTCAAAAACATAATCCCCTCTCAAAATTTGAGGTTTCACGTTTCAAGATTCGTAGATTTCGAAAAACGAATAAAAATTTCTTTGTCCGTCCGCCGTCCGCGCATTTTCTCCGAAACTACTGGACCGATTTTTTTCAAATTTTGATATAAAATCAGAGGTCACCCGAGGATGATCCTCCTTCATCGACATTACTCTCCGCCTTTAACTTTAAAAATTGCGGCCGAAAAACCTGCGTTGCTATAGACTGTAGCTCCTAAACGAATGTACAGATTTCAATGAAACTTCGCTAAAGTCATTTTCTCGACGCCCTGTAAATTTATCTATATAACATACTTCAACGAAAAGAAGCTGTAAACAAAGTTACGAGGGATGTTAAAATTAAATTCGGAATAACTCGAAAAGTATACACTTTTTGGGGATATTGTATATAATTTTTTTTTAAGTTTACTGAATTTCCTAAAAAACAAAAAAAAAATCGTAAAAATCGGACAATTAGGAGCAAAGATATGGTCTCTGGTTTGTTTTTATGTGTTCTACTCCAAATGTTATATCCTTGGTTTGGTTTTTAAATTTTGAATGTGTTACTGAACTAATACTATGTTTTTTTTTAGCATATTACTAATGATTAAAGAAAAACAGTTTAGTCCAATAATTGGAATCACCTTTTGTTTTGTTTTCTTTGTAACTCGGATGGTAATGTTACTTTAGATGTATAATTGTTTGCAGATAATAAACCATTGTGAAATCATTCGCAGCGTTTTTTTTTATACAGTTGTAAATATCATAATAAATAATTTAAAAAAAAAAAGCTTGAATCACTTTCCACTTCCTTTTAAGACTGTTTACAGTACCAAACAAAACTAATGATTGTGGAGAAAACATAGATTTTTGGAAAAAATCTGAATTTCATCAGAAACATTTATCACGAAACTCGTAGAAGAAATAAATTAACGTTAGTAAATATTGTATGCTATTAGATTTATATTGGTAGATCCTCAACATTTCTCTTCAAAGCATATTTAAAAAATTATTGTTAAGTGAGATATACAAATTAAACTAACAATATGAAAGTCTTGTACAGAGGGATACGCACTTAACTTACGAAATAAGTGACTGATCTACCACACCATACTGAGACCAATTTGGGCACATGGAGAAGAAATTTGGAGTTTGGCCAAACAAACACACATAAATAAAATACAAACATCACAATAAAAAATCCTACAAAAAATTGTTTACGTACCATGGTACATTTCAAAAAGCATTGTACATAAAAACTTAAACTTCCCATCTATAAAAATCCATTAATCCATTAGTCCTTTCTAATTGTGGGTTGCTGGTTGACTGTAGTGAATAATGAAGAGAAGGATAGTTGGGGTGATCAAGCAAATAAGAAGGCAAAAATAAATAATATTTATTTTAACACTTGCCGAAGTTTCGACCAGAAGTTCAGCTCTTCATCATAGCTCATCTTCATCCCAAAAATCGACCTGATCGCAGGGGAAGGTTTGATTGTAAATTACGAAAGTGTATGTTATTCTGAGTAAAAAGAACCTTGTCTGCCGTTCCAGAGCCGCTGCTTTCAAAAATGGCGGCTGATTTAAAGAATATTAGGCCAATAATTTGAGGATCGAAACGGGAAATCCATTGCGAAAAATGTGAGAAAAGTTTTTATTTTTTTAACTTGTATATATGGATTTAGACATGTAAAAAACAAAATTGCTAACGCGGGCCACCAAGGGAAAACTTTTTACAGCCAAAAAAGTCAGATTTTTTCGATATTTTTTTGGTTTTTCATCTATAACTCCTAAACGATGCATCAAAGCGAAAAATGTATTCTTTAATAAATTAAAGAACATTAAATTTTGCGTCAAACGAGTACATAAACTTTATAATTTGGTTACGCGGTAAGGTATAAAACCACTATAAACCAACGCTGAGTTTTACCAAATTTGTCAAAAACTGAGACAAATTACTATAAATGGCCCTGTAACTTGGAAATGAGTTCCCTAAGAGGAAAAACTCATAGAATCAAAGTTGTAGAGCATCAAATTTTGTGTCCATTGAGTAGTGACATTTTTATTGTAGGCCAATTATATATCTCGAATCGGGATTCGTTATTCCTATTCGGCTATACATACATATATATATATATATATATATATATATATATATATATATATATATATATATATACATATATGTATGTAGTAATAGAATAATATAATGTATAAATTATGTCCAAATGGATTGATCGGTATGCTTTCAATCAGAGATGGGCATATTTATATTCAAAAATATAAATACAAATACCATTTATATTTATGGCAATTTTGAATGTAAATATGAATATATTTTTATTCATAAGAAGAAATATGAATGATGATGCGTATTCACAGGTGTAAATATAAATACGGCCATATTCACCACTTTAAAAGTGAATACGGTTGTATTTACAGTTATACAAGTGAATACGGCTGTATTCACGTTTATTAAAATGAAAACGCCTTAATTTACAGCAGTGAATGAAAATATTTTCACACAACCTTATGAATGAATGCTTTTATTTATTAAATAAATTAAAATTTTTTATTTGTGCCGACGTTTCAACCCAAACGTGTTTCAACCTGAAGAACACATGTTTAGGTTGAAACGTTTGCTCAAATAAAATAATGTGTATAATGAATGCGTCCTGACTATTTATCATTTATAAACATATATATACATTAGCGTAAATGTTAAAAATAATAATAATAAATTAAATAAAATAATACGCTAATAAAGTATGGAGTATTTTTAAAATAAAATATTATTATCATAAATTGTCTTTTATTGGTTTTTTTAACCGCTTTCTACAATTTTTTTTTCATTAAAAAATAAAAATGTAAGACATTTTATTACATTTAGTCACTTATAAGTTACACAGGACATTTTAAACATAAAACGCGAACCGAATTAAATTTATGTACTTCATGTGAAACTATAAAACTAAAACTACATGTGAAACTATAAAACTACATACGACAACGTTAATGAAAGCCGGTAAAGAACTTGGACTCGAAATAAACGTGGATAAAACAAAATATATAGTTAGCTGCAAAAGTGGCGATACTACTGGTGATATCGATATAGATGGTAATATGTTTGAGCAGGTAGATAAGTTTAG